CAGTGGTCGGGAGTGGCCACTGAACTCCAGTCTGGGCGACAGAGTGAGACTCCAACTCAGGGAAAAAAAGAAAAAAAAAAAACTGCTTACTATCTGTAAAGTTCAACTCATGCTTTCATATTTTAAATAATTGTGTGATATTGAGCTTCTAGTGAAAAACCAAAGTAAGAACATTAACACCTTTCTCTTAAATTCATAGAAATGAAAGGAGAACACAAATCCACAAATGCGATTAGAGCCTAATCCACAAATGGGATTAGAGCCTTTATAAGAAGAAGCCAGAAAGCTATTCACTCTTTCCTCAATGTGAGGATACAACGAGAAGTCAGTCATCTGCAACCTGAAAGAGGGCCCTCACTAGAAAATTCCCAATGCAATAAAACTAAAAAACAGCTATAAACCCAGTGACAAAAAAATAATTAGCTGACAGTGAAATTTGGATGCTATCTAGTTTGATCAAACTCAATAGGGTGTGCATATCTCTGACAAAGTAAGGCTCCTGGGGGGCCTAATCAACAACCCTATCACTAGATAGTATTTTTAATCCCACCTTTGGAGATAAGAAATGCAAAGCACAGAGAAGACTGACTTATCTATGACTTATACCACTGCAAGACCCACTTTTGAAACAGTACCTGTGAGTAAGAGAGGTTTAAGAACAAAACACAGAATGCAGAAGAAAAAGATAAATAAATGAAAATTATTAAAAAGATTATACTGGTCAGAGAACAAGAAAAAGTTAGTGTTAAGTGGCTCGAGACTGCTGTTCTCAAAACGTCTTCCTTGAGAGTATGTTCCTTGACATCTGGAAACTTGAATGGGAAACAGTTCCCAACAGTGATGTAAACCCTTCCCTGGTTAAGAGTGGCTCTCAGTTCCTAAACTGTTTGGACAAGCAATGTGGTTTATTCTGAACCTGCTTTCTTTTTGGAGTCCAGAATTTTGGTACATGCTTAGCAGATGGTGCCTATGTGCCCAGCTCAATGAAAACCTTGGGCACCGAATCTCTAACAAGTTTTCTTGTCAGACAATTTCACACATCACAATAAGATGCAGGAGGAATCAAGGACATTCTACATGATTCAGTGAAGGATAATTAGTTTTGAGGGTGGAGTCCCCACAAATGGGATTAGAGTCTTTATAAGAAGAAGCCAGAGAGCTATTCACTCTTTCCTCAATGTGAGGATACAACGAGAAGTCAGTCATCTGCAACCTGAAAGAGGGCCCTCACTAGTGCCTGGTTTCCCCCAGACTTTGCCTCATGTGCCTTTTCCCTTTGCTGATTTTGCTCTTATGTCCTTTCATATAATAACTTTAGCCATGATTAATTGCTAAGTCTTAAGATCCTTCTAGTCAGTCACTGAACCTAAAGACTGTCTTGGAACCCCCAACACAGGGAATACAGGGAATATCTACAATAGAAAAGAAACACACAAAGTACTGGTGCCCTTACGACAGGGAATACAGAAAATGTAAGGGAAAAATATTCAGAGAAATAATGGAAGATGTGTAGGCTGGGCACAATGGCTCAAGCCTGTAATCCCAGCACTTTGGGAGGCTGAGGTGAGAGGATTGCCTGAGCCCAGGGGTTCGTGACCAGCCTAGGAAACTTGGTGAGACCTCGTCTCCATGATAAATCAAAAAAGTAGCTGGGTGTGGTAGCATGCTCCTGTAGTTGCAGCTACTTGGAAGGCAGAGGCGGAAGAATCACCTGAACCCAGCATGTCAAGGCTGCAGTGGCCATGAGCGTACCACTGCACTCCAGCCTGGGGGACAGAGTGAAACTCCAATTTAAAAAAATAAAATAAAATAAAAAATAAAGAAGGAATACTCAAAATCTTGCCACACCCTGGCCAAGTTTCTGTAGTTCCATAACTAAGAATCCCGTAAATCTCCAAGAAGAAAGCAAGATATTGTTACAAGGGAGGTAAAATGTTGGTGGGCCTCAGATTTCTCCACAGTAACAGTTGAGGCCATTGAGGTTGTAAAAACAATGTCTGCAAAGTGCTAAGAGAAATAATATGTGGCCTGAAACCACTACATTCAGCCAAGCTGTTGTATAAATATGAAGGCAACAGGCAGACATTCTCAAGAGGTATACTTCAAGGAAAAGCAAACGGTGCTGGAGATCGGCTAACTGACTACACTTACCAACAAGGAGACTAATCCAGATAAAGAAATGAGAAATAAACTGTGCCATAAAGGCTAAAAATAAGTGCTGCACTCATTTGATCGTACTTAAAGAAGAATTATGCGATAAAGCCCACGATGTTTAAAAAAAAAACTTACACAGTAAATAAAATAACTGATGGAAGTTTTAGGGGAAATTTAAGTGTAAGAATTTGCTCATTTCTCATAATGAAAATTCAAAAGAGACTTATTAAAAGCGAGAAGTTTATAAACAAAAAGGAATTGACTTGGATAGCAAGTATGTGAATTTACAATCCTAAATAATTTTTTAATGCTTTCCTGCATTGTGTTTTATAGTTCACTAGAGTGCTGATGAGTAGTCTAGAGTAATACAAAGAATAGCATGAAAGAATTAAGGTCAGATAAAAATAAAAAGTATAAAAAATAAAGTTAAATCATCCAAATATTTTTAAAGAGTTAAAGTGGCCAGTGTTGGCAAGAATAAAAGAATCATAATCTCTCATATACTGATGCAACATTAACTGGTAAAATTCTGTAAAAGTTAATATGGTAATGTCTCAAACTAAAGCAAGTACGGATCTTTGAACCAGTAATTCTATGTCATACCAATTGATTCTATACACAAGCTTTCACAAGTTCACAAATAATCACTGCAACACTTTTGGTAATCATGACAAACAGAAACAAATTAAATGTCTATTAACAGGGAACTGTAAAATTAAACTGAGATCAGTGATAAAATATACTACTTATATAGCTATTAAAAAGAATGAAATAGTGCTACATATAATTATGGAAAATATCTATAATATATTCTTAAGTAAACAGAAAAGCAAATTAGCATTATAATCTTTCCTAATTATTTTCTAGAAATGAGTACAAATGACTGTAGACACACATTCAGGTATGCAGGTATAAACCCAGAGACTGTCTAGAAGAATTCAAATTCAATGCTTAGAAAAACAGAATTGGGAGGTGGATGGAAGATGTAATAGATGGTCACTTTTATTTGTGTACAATTCTAATTGTTACAACAAATTTGCCTTACTTAAAAAAAAAAGAAAAACCTAAATAAACTATCCTTAAAAATAAAACTATAAAAAACCAAATGGATATTTAAAAGAATCAGAAATTGTCAAATTTTGAAGCTAAGTAACTATAATTCTGCATGCTCATAAGGGCTATAATCTCAAAAGACCTGTGACCGTGATCTACTTTAGTATCTGATGGGTCCAAAACTAAAAGATGATAGAAAGCATAACAGTGTTTTTTGCTGGGATAGCTGAGTACAAGAGAATGGTCTGGGGTAACAGAAATGCTCTAACTTGACTCTTGGGTCTTGGCTACATGACTGCATATATATGGCAAAACTCAGCAAACTGTACATTTAAGATCTCTCCATTTCACTGCACATAAATTTCACCTTAAGAAAACTGAGTAGAATGAGAAGTTCACAAAACCAATTTTTTAATTGCAAAAAATTCATACTAGTAAAAAATAAAATAAATGTTACAAATGAAAATTTCCTTTTATTTACCCCTTTTCTCCCAATCCAACCTCCTCACAGTTAACCACTGAGTTAGGTACACTACAGCTTCAAGACTTTTTTCTACATGTAATAAATATACATAAATGCATAGCTGTATATTTTTAATCGAAAAAAAGTAATTATCCTAACCACAGCAATTTGCTTTTAATACTTAACAACTGATCATGAATCTTCTCTCATAGGTACATATAATTCTTCCGCATTAAAGGTCATATAATATTATTCACTGCAAGGATAAACCATAAGTTATTAAATCATAATTCTAACCCAGGCACAGTGGTTCATACCTATTAATCCCAACAATGTGGGAGGTGGAGGAGACCTAAGCCCATGGGTTCAAGATCAGCCTAGGCAATTTGGCGAGATCTCGTCATTATAATAAATTGAAAAATGAACCAGCATGGTGGCGTGTGCCTATAGTTTCTGCTACTTGGAAGACTGAAGCAGAAAGATCACCTGAGCCCAGCAGGTCAAGGCTGTAGCCACGAAGGATTACAGCCTGGGTGACAGAGTGAGACTCTAACTCAAATAATGATAGTGATAATAATAATAATAATAGTAATAGGAATAATAATGGCTTTATTATTAACTAGTAAGCTACTTTACAGTTTTAACAAAATAAGCATTAATATTTATTATAACTCTTAGGTATTCAAATAAATTTTATACACAATTAGGGATTTAAAAATGCTCCTTGGAATAGATCTCCCATTATAATATGAATGTCTAATTTTCAATGTTCAAGCATATGCCTTCTAAATGCACAAATGAGTAGAACAAATATAGCACATAATTTCACCTAAATGTTGAATTATGAATAAAATTTTATAAACACATCAGCTATGAGATTAGGAAAAGCATTATTTTAAAATTTTTGTTGCAACTCAAAAAATGTTTTAATTTAGCACTAGAATGCCATAAGAAATACAGGCAAATAATAAAGATTCTCAGAAAGAAAAAAAAATTAATCACTGCATTAAACAGACCTAAAACACATTGAGCCCATTTCTTTCTTTCCCTTTTTTTTTTTTTTGAGAAAGCAAAATTTACTGAGAGAACAGAAAGCTCCCACCACGAGAGGGGACTGAAGAGGGTTGCCCCACTGGGCCCATTTCTAATCTTCTTTTGTAATATTTCCCATGATATAGTTTGAAGTCTGCATTCATGAATTTTTGAATTCCTATTTATCATAAAAAGTTGCTAACAATGGAGAAACTTGGTATTATCACCACAGTAAAAAAATTCTTGTGACAAACTTTTGTTTAGAAGAATGTAATTTGGAAACAAAAGAGTTACAAACCTAGGTCCAATAACAGGAATAAGTAGGACATCTTGAAGATCTGGATGCTGAAGAATGGGAACACTTAATCCATTAAACTGCTGTTAAAAATAAACACATATAATTATAAAGTAATCAATATATTTGATAAATTTCGATTTACAAAACTTTTTAGTATCATTGTGTACCATTATCTGGTAACTTTGAGGTGCTTTCACTTTATTCCACAGAAGACTGTAAAAATCAAAAAAGACCTTAAAACACAACAATGTTTTCTCTAAGTTAATTCCAAAGTATCCTGACCTCTTAATAAGACTCCATTTTGCTTACTGTTTGGCATCATAAACAGAAACTACGTTTACCTTAAGGGATTTACTTAGAAAACATACTGGCAAAGATGACACAAACAGATGGAAAAATATCCCATGCTCATAGATTGGAAGAATCAACATTGTTAAGATGTCCATCCTACCCAAGGTAATTACAGATTTAATACCTATTAATTACCAGCAGCATTCTTCTCAGACCTGGAAACGTCGATACAGGAATTCATATGGAAACATAAACAACCACGAATAGCCAAAACAATCCCCAGCAAAAGGTATCACACTCTCAGATTTCAAACTTTATTACAAAGCTACAATAATCAAGCCTGGTATTGGTACAAGAACAGGCATATAGACCAATGGAACAGGAGAGAGATTCCAGAAGCAAAACCTCAATTTCTCAACCAGCTCATCTTCCACAAAGCCTCCACTCTCAGCCACTGGGGAAAGGAAAACCTATTCAGTAAAGGGTGCTGGGAACACTGGCTGACCATATGCAGAAGATTGAAACAGGTCCCTTACCCACCATACAAAAATCAACTCTAAATGGATCAAAAACCTAAAGGTAAAACCTCAAATTATAAGAACCTCAAATTAGAAAATGCAGGAGACATCCTTATGGAAACTGGAACTGGCAACCAATTCCTGATTCAAACCCCAAGCACCCATGCCACAAGAGATAAGATAGACAAGTTGGACCTCATCAAACTGACAAGCTTCTGCAAAGCCAAAGAAACCACTGAGAGAGCAGGAAGAAGGTCCACAGACTGAGAAAAAAAATTTTTCCAACTGTGTATCTGACAAAGACCTAACATCTAGGATCTACAAGGAACTCAAACATGCCAAAAAGAAAAAAACAAACAGCCCCATTACAAAGTGGGCAAAAGATATGAATAGACAGTTCTCAAAAGAAGACATACGAGCGGCCAACAGATACATGAAAAAAGGCTCAGCCTCACTAGTCATCAAAGAAATGCAAATTAAAACCACACTGAGATACCACTTAACTCCAGTCAGGATGGCCATCACCAATAATTCAAAAAACAACAGATGCTGGAGAGGATGCGGTGAAAAGGGAACACTTCTAGACTGTTGGTGGGAGTGTAAACTAGTACAACCTCTATGGAAAACAGTGTGGCGATTCCTAAAATATCTAAAAATCTGGGAATATACCCAGAGGAAATCACTCTATGAAAAAGATACATTCACACGCATGTTTATTGCAGCATTATTTACAATAGCAAAAACATGGAACCAACCGTGATGGGTGCTGTCCATCAAAAGAGGACTGGATAAAAAAAAATATGGTTCATATACACAATGGAATATTACACAGTCATGAAGGACAAAATTATGAACTTCACAGCAACTCGGATTGATTTAGAAGCTATAAACTAAGTGAACTATCACAGAAACAAAGAAATGAGTATCACATGTTCTCACTTATAAGCAGACCTTGAACAACTATCATAATAGAATAAAAAAGGGATTGGAGCCGGGCTCGGTGGCTCAGCCTGTAATCCCGCACCTTTGGGAGGCTGAGGTGAGTGGACTGCCCGAGCCCGCGGGTTCGAGACCCACCAGGGCAACTTGGCGAGACCTCATCTCTACAATAAATCAAAAATCAGCCAGGCGTGGTAGCGCACACCTGTAGTTCCAGCTACTTGGAAGGCTGAGGCGCAAGGATCACTGGGGCCCAGGTCGAGGCTGTGGTGACCGGGAGCAGCCACTGCACTCCAGTCTGGGCGACAGAGTGAGACTCCAAATCAAAAAAATAAAAATAAAAACAAATAAAAAAAAAAGACAAAATAATTGACTCCAACTCAAAAAACAAAACAGAAAGGAACTGGCAATAGTGGGAAACTGTCAGGGGAGGGGAGGGGAGGGGTGGGAGTGGCAGTAGCGAGAAACTGCCAGGGAAGGGAGGGCACACCTCATCAACCAGGGTATCTGTATAATAAACATTTGTATACCTAACCCTGAGTTGTACCCCACATAATTAAAATTTAAAAATTTTTTAAAAAAGAAAACATATTTCCAATACAGAATTATATGTAGCCGGGCTCGGTGGCTCAGTCTGTAATTCCAGCACTTTGGAAGGCCAAGGAGAGTGAACTGACTGAGCCCGCAGGTTTGAGACCAGTCCGGGCAACGTGGCGAGACCTCATCTCTACAATAAATAAAAAATTAGCTGGATGCAGTAGCACGCGCCTGTAGTTCCAGCTACTTGGCAGGCCGAGGAGGAAGGATCACCGGAGCCCAGCAGGTCAACGCCGGGGTGGCCATGAGTGTGCCACTGCACTCTATCCTGAGCGACAGAGTGAGACTCCAACTCAAAAAAAAAAAAAAAAAAAAAGAATTACATGTAGTATTTATTTATTTAAGAAAAGCTTCTGAACAGAACATTAAAGATTGAGATTACTAATAGTACTCAATATACTCTATCAACACTGGAAGCCATGTCAGTTTTGGTGACGGAAATAAATGTTTACTATAGATGTTCAGGATTTTCAGAATCCTTTGTGGTACTTGGTTGTCACACTGAAAACAGATGCAGGGCCAGTGGAACAGGTGCTGGAGCCTGTCAGTTTGCACAGGCTCAGGAAAGCCACTGTATGCATTTCCCAGCTCTGTGGTCATGCTGATCTACCACAGTTCCACAAAGTAGGAGTACTTACATCACAGAAATCATCAAACACCACAAATCAGGGTTATTTTTCCCAAAAGTGGTTTGTCAAATATGCACCAGTGTAACACTATTGCAGGCAGAAGATGACTGGGCACCCTAAGCAGCAGAATAAAAAAGCAGATACATAGTGACTTGATGACAGGAACTGTATACCCTCTCGGAGGGCAACACACAATATTTGAGGACAAGTCTGTGTCATGTAAGCAAGGGTTTATCAACTCACTAATATTCACTTTCTATATACAAGAGGAATAACGACAACGTATATTTGCATTGTCTTGTAGGAGCCATATGCTACTTAGAAAAAATGTCTAAAATCAACTTACTTTTAAGTTGACAAACTAAGCTGGGCTCGGTGGCTCAGCCTGTAATCCCACACTTTGGGAGGCTGAGGTGAGTGGATTGCCTGAGTCCGCGGATTCAAGACCAGTCTGGGCAACTTGGCGAGACCTCATCTCTACAATAAAATCAAAAAATTAGCCGGGTGTGGTAGCACACGCCTATAGTTCCAGCTACTTGGAAGGCTGAGGCAGAAGGATCGCCGGAGCCCAGCAGGTCAAGGCTGCAGTAGCCAGGAGTGGCCACTGTACTCCAGTCCGGGCAACAGAGTGAGACTCCAAATCAAAAAATAAAAAATAAATAAAAGACAAAATAATTGTCCATATCTGAGAAATATAACTACATTTCTACCAAGTTACTGGCACTCTGGTCTTCTGCTTCTTCCAGACAAAGGATATTTTAGACCATACACATATCTAGACAGCTAGTAAGTAATCTGAAGGGTAAAATTCCACTCATTCAACAAAAATCTTCTCCCTTTTAGCTTTTCCTCCCTCCCTCCTTTATTGTTTTGATGGTCTTTCAGTATCAACTATAAGAAACAGATCTCTCCAAAGAAGATAATGATTTTTGTCATTTTTTGTTTGTTTTATAAATACTATTTGCTTTACACTGTAGTAATACTTTACATAGAGATCAAACGTTCTCAAGCCAAAGGTTTTCTTCTCTCATTTAGAATCAAGAGCATGTTAAGATTATGCAGAATATGCATACCTTTCATAACCACAAACTTTTTTTTTTTCAAATTGAGCTTATCACCAGTTTCTTTCAATGTTTGTTCCTGCCCTACTCTCTTTCTTAAAAATTTTCTGTTTTATAGAGACAGGTCTTACTATGTTGCCCAAGCTAGTCTTGAAGTTCTGGGCTCATGTGATCCTCCCGCCTCGGTCTTCCAACTGCTGGGATTACAGGTGTGAGCCACAGTGCCCAGCCTATTCTATGTTCTTTCTAAAACTGCCTTATTGAGATATTAATTTATATACCATAAATTTCACCCCATTTTACATGCACAATTTAATGGGTTTTAGTAAACTTAACCAAGTGTGCAACCATCACCACAATCCAGTTTTAGATCACTCCACAAAGTGCCTTCACACCCATTTTCAGTCATTCCCTACTCCCATTCCTAGGCAACCACTAATCTTTTTCCATAAGTTTGACATTTCATAGAGGTGAAATACAGGTTGAGTATTCCCAATTTGAAAATCGAAAATGCTCCAAAGTCCAAAACTTTTTGCTGACAGGAGGTCACTTGTAGAAAATTCCATACCTGACCTCACATGACTGGTCACAGTCAAAGCACAGGCATATAACACACAGTTTATCCAGTTTGTTGTGGTGCTTAGTTACATTGAACACATTATTTTTTCACTGTATTAATGGTATGTCATGTTTTTACTGTTAAGTACCTATGTTTGAATAAGTGTAGGAAAATGATTGCTTGTCGGTACCACATAAATTCAGAGTCAGGAATGACAAGGATGCCAAAACAACTAGACTTTCCACATAGGTGGCTGAGATATGGGACAACTACACCTTTGTCTTTTCTTTTTTTAATAGAGGTGAGGTCTTGATATGTTGCTCAGGCTGGTCTTGAACATCTAGGCTCAAGCGATTCTTCTGCCTTGGCTAGGATTACAGGCGTGAGCCACTGTGCCCAGCCCAACACCTTTGCTTTCTGATAGTTCAATGTACACAAACTCTGTGAACAAAATAACTTCACGCACAGTAATTAAAATACTGTATACAATTACCTTCAGGCTATACGTACAAGGTGTATATGAAACATAAACAAATTTCATGTTAGACTTAGATCCTATACTCAAGATATCTCATTATGTATATGCAAGTATTACAAAATCCAAAAACACCCAGAATTCACAACATTTCTGGTCCCAAGCATTTTGGATAAAAGATACTCAACCTATAACACAATATGTGGTATCTGTGTCTGGCTTCTTTTGCTTACTAATATTTTTATTGCTGAACAATATTCCACTGTATGATTATCTGATCATATGTTTGATTGTCTATTTATTAGTTGATGAACATTTGGAGTTTCCTCTTTTAGCTACTAAGAACAATGCGACTATGAACATTCATGTTCAAGAATTTAGGTAGGTCTATTTTCATTTCATTTTGGTTGATACTTAGGAGTGGAAATGCTGGGTTTTAGAGTAAGTTTATGTTTAACTCTAAGAGGCTATCAAACTGTTTTCCCAAGAGATCATAACATTTTACATCCTCACCTGCAAACATATGAAAGTTCTAGCTTCTCTATAGTCTCACCAGCCAAATGTAATTTTAAGTAATTAAGTTTCAGTATGTGGCCCAGAAATCTGGGGACCTACTTTCATATCATATTACTCTGGACATCTCTTTAGGACACACATGAGCTTTTGAATGTAAAAAGAGAAAGAAAATTAATGGTCTAAAGCCTTTCCCAAGTCCCCGGTCTTGCTAGAATTAGGTACTGCTCTACCCTAAGTTTCCTATGCCTATGATCCAAGCTTCCCTGTCCAATATTAACCTTTAAGGAAAGAGACTCAAAGCCCATAGCAATGCTGCCTGCCCTATCCTAGACCCTATCCCATGAGATCTTGTACACCCATCAAACTAAGATATTAGAATACCCAGCCAGGCTCTAGGAATAATTTGCTAGAAAATTTGTTAAAACAATCTGGATCTGCCTGAGTTATGAATGTCTTTAATGGGCCTCAGAACAGATTCTTTTCTTTTCTCCTTTTTTTTTGAGTTGGAGTCTCACTCTGTGGCCCAGACTACAGTACAGTGGCCGCTCCCAGCCACCGCAGCCTCAACCTGCTGGGCTTCGGTGATGCTTCTGCCTCAGCCTTCCGAGTAGCTGGAACTACAGGCGCGTGCTACCACACCCAGCTGATTTTTGATTTATTGTAGAGATGAGGTCTTGCCAAGTTACCCAGGCGGGTCTCAAACCCGCGGGCTCAGGCAATCCATTCAACTCAGCCTCCCAAAGGCGCGGGATTACAGGCTGAGCCACCGAGCCCGGCTTGCAGATTCTTTTCTACTAGCTGAAATGACAAATGCATAGCTCTGCAAAAAGTAATCATTTTAGTTGCTTAGAGCAACTACTTACATTTTATGCCTGTCATTCCTCTCAATAGAATTATCACTATCCATGAGTAAAAATCAGATTAACTTTTCTCTAAGTCTTATTTAATTATTATACTAAGTTTTGGTTTCATACACTCAGATACCATAGCTCAATCTTCTCATAACATGGTCATCCACTCACAACTTAATATTTATAGAACTGTTCTTAAGGAGAAAATGACAAAGAGTTCATGATGTAATGAGACTGAAGATAAAGAGATAAATGAATCAATATCAGTGATAAATTCTGAAATTTTCTAAATATCTAATGTAAACGAAGCTTGTGATATACAAATGGAAATCCTTTAATCATGCTTGGCTCTTTATGTTAACTTATGTACAAATTATGTGATGAAGCAACTGAGGCCCAGAAGGGCTAAATGAGCTATCCAGTCTCTGAAAATGAGTAAGTTAAGAATCAGAAGTATTAGGTACAAGTTCTAGCATTACTACATACTATAATCTTGAATAATTTAGCATTCATAATCCTCAATTTTTTAATTTTTAAAGTTGGAATATATTCTATCATTCACAGGATTTAATGGGGAGCAACATGACACAGACAATAAAAATGAAATTATATAGAAAATGACATAAAAATTTCCACAAACCTTCTGAAGTTCATCAAGCAATAGACTTTTCACATGTTGCACTGAGGCTAAATGTGTATTCACTCTGACAGTTGTGAATAATGGAGGATGAGACAGATGATTTAACAGAGCTTCAAACTTCCTTTCTGCTTCTTGTTTACCCAAAGCAGATACAACCTAAAAAGAAGAAAGGAACAAGTTAATGCTTAAATTTTTATACGAATAAAAACATTCAGCAGAACATGCTTATATATCTATTCCATCTAATGAAGCATCTTTTAGCAAATGTTCAGTTCCATTTCATTTTGCTGTACTTTTTGAGTGTTAATAATGCTAAGAAAATGTTAATACTTCCTTGTATTAATAAATACCTAACCAAATGTCTGACATAGAGGGCTTGGAAAAAAAGTGCCTCAACTTCAAAGTATTATTAACATTGTGAAAATATTACTATTTGCTAGATTTATTCACATAAATTCAGGATGTCATTCTTATTTGTAATGTGTTAACTATTACAGCACTTCTGTAGAACTGTCAACTTGCTAAATCATATCCTACAAGAAATTGGTAGCAGCCTTTTAAAACACCAATATTTAGAGAAGTAGCATAGATATACTCATTGTCATCCAAAGATCCCCAGCACATCAGCTTAATATAGTATTATTAAATGTAACAAATAAATATTGTCGAAAAAAGATGGGTAGTAAAGATAACTGTCAGAAATGAAGGTATAAAGACTCAAACAACCAGGTTCCCTTTGAATTAACTGAAGCTTTTCAAGGCACATATTTACTGCCCCCCCCACCTTTTTTTGGTCATTTTTGGACTACATTCTGTTTAACAGAATCTTCACAAATTACTTGTCGGCCTACTATTCCACTAATCTTAAAGTATTCATACTTTCTCAAGACTTAGTCTTATTAAAACGGAATAATCCTTTCCCTTCTATATATATTTCTTTTCTAACAAAGGGATGGCTTTTCTTTTTTTTTTTTTTTTTTTTTTTGAGTTGGAGTCTCACTCTGTCACTCAGACTGGAGTGCAGTGGCTGCTCCTGGCCACCACAGCCTCGACCTCCTGGGCTCTGGTGATCCTTCCACCTCAGCCTTCCAAGTAGCTGGAACTACAGGCGCATGCTACCAGGCCCGGCTAATTTGTGTTTTATTATAGAGATGCCCAGGCAGGTCTCGAACCAGCGGGCTCAGGTAATCCACTCATCTAGGCCTCCCAAAGCACTGGGATTACAGGCTGAGCCACTGAGCCCGGCCGGCAATTCTTTTTGTAAAGCTATAAGTGGTGGGTTAATGGAAGAAGTGGTGTCAGAGATATTTGGAGCTCTTCTATAAAACAGTGTTTATCATTTTTTAAACTGCTGAAAAAAATTGAATGCCTTTACTTCTCTTATATTCTAAATCCCTTGAAATCAACAGAATATATTTTCTCTTTCTACACCACACACCATCTACCCTTTAATATAATGATTGGAAATAAAATGCAGAAATCAAATCTGAAAGTTATGGCTTCAAAAACATATTTAAAAATGAATAATTTTTTTTTTTTTGAGTTGGAGTCTCACTCTGTCGCCCAGACTGGAGTGCAGTCGCCGCTGCCGGCCACCGCAGCCTCAACCTGCTGGGCTCTGGCGATCCTTCCGCCTCAGCCTTCCAAGTAGCTGGAACTACAGGCGTGCACTACCACGCCCAGCTAATTTTTATTTATTGTAGAGATGAGGTCTCGCCAAGTTGCCCTGGGGAGTCTCGAACCCGTGGGCTCAGGCAATCCACTCACCTCAGCTTCCCAAAGGCTCGGGATTACAGGCTGAGCCACCGAACCTGACTTAAAAATGAATAATATTTAAGGGACTTTAATTTAAAAAGAAAACAAAAGGTTTGCAAAAACAAAGTTGCTTAGAGACAAGATGTCACGTGGAATAGAGCACAAGCTTTGCAATCAATTAACATTCACTGAGGACTTCTGTGGTAGGCAGTGCCCGCAGCAAACAAAATTAACATTTTTGAGGACTTATGTGTCAGAACAATGCCCACCACTCTCACTTATGTTTAATACCCTAAAGAACTTTGTAAAGTATTTTAAACCATTCTCAAGATGCAGAGAGGAGAAAAATCGAGGTTAAGTGATATAATTTACTCAAGCACTGGAATGCAAATCAAGTGCTTGAGATTCAAAATCCAAAACTTTTTTCATCACACCTGAGCTCTTTGCCTGGATTTCAGTAGTTACTTGAGAGCTGCGTCATGTAACTTGGGTCAGTTACATGATTCCTTGTACTATTTTCTCACCTATTAAAATAAAAACAGCCCTCTACCAAAAAGATTGTGTAGATTAAAATGTAAAGGTCTGCAAATCACCTAAAATAACGGTTGACATTTAGGAGGCACTCAACGAATGATTTTCACCTGAGGTGGGCCTTTGGTCTTGGACTTGAGTTCTTGAAAACAGGGCCTTTTTCCTGTTCATCCTTATAACCTCTTGAGTGCCATGCCTTTGAGTGCCAGGCATGTGACATGCTTTTCTCTTCTTTCCTAGTCCTAAGTGTTACACTAATCACCTCTTATCTCAACTAAGCATTAATTCCTGTTCAAAGACATTTTTATTTTTACATTCAGACAGACGAGCAAGAAACAACAGCCATGAAGATTTGCCTTTAGACATTTTTCTAGTTGAGAATTTGTAAATATTTGAATTTTTTTTTTTTCAAATATCATCGAAAATCTTTATTTGACCTACCTCCTTATTCATAAAGCCCTCTTTAAGATAGTTTTCAACCTCAGGTCTCAAAAATATTTTAGGGAAAACGGACATTTTCCCTGTAGTGTGGTTCTCCTCCGAGAGAAATGCTGGGAAGCGGTGGATCTTCTCTCCGAACTTCAGTGAGTAGTGTCTTGACAAGGAACAGGCGCCCACCGCGTGGCGAATCCACCGGGTGCCCAGGAAAATCGCGCGAATCCGGCCGAGTTACCTACGGGAGGGCGGAGGAACGTTCTCGAGCCTAGCCGGATGAGAAGCGGCTTCCTGGCCCACGCCTCCTGGTCCTCAGGGAAGGCTCACGTTGCACCGAGAACCAAAAGAAAAAAAGAAGCCTGGTGGCTGAGTCCGCAGCGAACCGGACGCAGAGCTGGAAACCACGCAGGCCCGGGTTCTGTTGCTATCCATGTTATAATTTCCAAACCCGCGCCCCCATCCCAACTCGGAATGTCGCTTCCGGCTTTCATCACGTCCGGCGCCGGCGGCTCACTCCCCTTTCCGGTCCCCCAGTCCGCAGCTGCAAGTCGCCGTCGCGCCAAGTTCCGGAGGTTCCGATCCTTGTGGACTCCCCCGCTTCCTGGCGTGGCTTTCCAGGCGGCTGCCCTTAAGGAGGAAGGGGCGGCTAGCGGGGGTGACTAGACCATCCGGCTGCCGGCAGGGGAGGGCTGTGGACAGGGGAATGGGGAAATGCCATGGGTTGCGTGGAAGACGTTGCTGGCCTGAATATGAAATTGGGAGGGGCCCAATGACTGTTCTGCTAGGTGATCTCCAAGTAGAGGATGAGGCTAGAGTTAATTTGGACCCATCAGCCACCCTTTGATTTCATGAAATTTCATGAGATCCGGCATACAGATCTGACTTCAGTTACATAATTCATAGCCTTGAAATTTGGGTTCATGGTGTCTTAATATCCATCGATGCTCAGGTAAAACGTAAATCCCACAGATACTATTTACAAGTGGTTATAAGGCGAACCGATATTCGCATCATAGTTGACATAGTTTAGAGCCTGCGAAACCCTTGGCATAATTTTTTTAATAATCAGATGAAGAAAAAGATTCAAAGAAAGAAGTTACCTAACCAGTCACTGAGCCATTTTATATCTCCTTGAGTTAGTGTTTTTGATTTTGTTTTTTGCAGTATACCGTGGTCGCTTACACATAATCGTAGGAAAGGGTTTTTTTTTTAATGTTCACATAGGATTATATATGGTGGAGGGAGAGAACAGCTACTTTTTGGTAACATATGACCACAATGCCATAAACAATCCTGCAAGGTGGTTATTATGTTTTAGAGGTTAGTGAACCAAGCCTCACAAAGCCTAAAATAAATAGAAAGTCAGGATAAAGACTTTAGTAAATTGGCTCCTAGAATCAATACTTTTGTCCCCCCCAACCCCCCCCCCCGCAGTTGGAGTTCCACTCCATCGCCCAGGCTGGGGTGCAGTGGCACACTCACGGCCACTCCAGTGTAGAACTGCTAGGCTCAGGCGATCCTTCAGCCTCAGCCTTCCATGTAGCCAGAATTACAGACACGTGCTAACATGCCCGGCTAATTTAATGTGTGTGTGTGTGTGTGTGTGTGTGTGTGCGTGTGTGTGTGTGTGTGTGTGTGTGAGATTTATTGTAGAGATGAGGTTTCACCAAGTTGCCCAGGCTGGTCTCGAACCCATGGGCTCAAGCAATTCTCTAACCTCAGCCTCCCAAAGTGCTGGCGTGACAAGCTTCAGCCACTGCGCCCGGCCAATACTTTTGTCTTTGACGAGAACATATTTCGACAATAAATTCATGGGCTTCTTTGGTGGCTAAATCATCTGAAAGTGATAAAGGAAATGTCTAGGCCAGACATTTCCAAAGCAATTTTTGTAGCCTCTGCTTTGTGTGATGACCATAGCAGCAATAATGAGAGAAGAAGATACAATCTGAACTAGATCATAAATTCCAGGAGAGGAAGAGACTTTATCCCACCACTAACTCAGTACCTAATCCATAATGGGCACTCAAATATTTATTGCATGCCTAACTGAACACATGGATGGATGTCTCTATGAACCAGAGAAAGAAGATGCTGATAAAGCATTTATTTGCTGGAAATTTGTTCACCGTTTCTGCACACATGAACAACGTTGAGAACATTTAGACTATTTTTGGCTAGAAATTATTGTAATGACAGTTATGTTGACATAGAGATCGTGTGGTGTTCTAAGGTCCAAGAAAAGCATATTACAAACTGGAAGTCAGTATAGTGGATATGTGCCGTCTAAGCAAAGGACACTCTCAGAAGAATATACCCATATGAGAGTCATTTAGGCTACAAGTTCTTAATATGGGTGATATGGCCCCTGGTGGAGGGGGTGGGTTTGAGGGGGATTTAAAAAAATCTTTTTTTTTTTTTTTTTCAATTGGAGTCTCACTGTCACCCAGACTGGAGTGCAGTGACCGCTCCCGGCCACCGCAGCCTCGACCTGCTGGGCTCCGGCGATTCTTCCGCCTCAGCTTTTCAAGTAGCTGGAACTACAGGCATGCGCTACCACACCCGGCTAATTTTTGATTTATTGTAGAGATGAGGTCTCACCAAGTTGCCCAGGCGGGTCTCGAACCCACGGGCTCAGGCAATCCACTCACCTCAGCCTCCCAAAGGTGCAGGATTACAGGCTGAGCCACTGAGCCCAGCTGGGATTTAAAAAATCTTAAGACATACTCTTAACTCTTTGGAGTTTTTGGAACTCCAAAGCTTAACTTTACCAAAATAATATCCCTCCTTAGTATTTAGTATCATAGTGGGGGTGTAGAGGATTACAGGGGAAAATGTCTAGAAAGGCCCCTTGGGGATGATAATTTTAAAAAATTGAGAAACAATGATTTAGGCAATCACTTCCCTACCAATACAAAAAGAGTAATTCCTACCTTTTTTTTAGTCTTCCAGATTGCCCTTTTATTTCTTCTATGACAACATGCCTCCTTTTATTTCTCAAAATATTATTTCAGATTGATCCTGAGAGAACAGTCTAAATTCTGGGTTCTGTCCATCTCCATTCAAGGAAACATATTTGCCTCCTAATTTCAACCCTACAAGGATCTGTGAAGAGAACATAATATCAATAGTCACTCATTCACCCATAAATCTGATCCTGTATCAATACAGCATGTCCAGTCAGCTTTTAAAATTCATTTGAGTCACTTTAAGTTAGGACCTATAGTATCTGGAAAGTAAACAGATGAATGAACATGATTTAATTCAGAATGCTGCTAAGGATTAAACTTAGACTTGTTCATTTTTATTTCTAGAAATACATATACCTTACCTAGAACTTCCCATTTTTCTTGCTGTTCTTATGAAATGTTGAGGGTTAGCACCGTAATTTGCTTTTGGGGACACTTCTGGTTCCGGTAGTTGAACTACTGTCAGACTTAAGCCCCTGCCTGCCTTATCTTGAACATATCTTTTCCCCCTAAGTAAGGAACACACCACATAGATTCTGAAAAATAAAATGGTTCTAACTTATGAGTGAAGTTAAGCAGGGTTCTTGGGCAACCCATTGCATTGCAATGGTTAAGAACTTGACCTGGTCTCAACCTGCTAGGGTTCAAATTCCAGCTCTTGACACCTCAAATTAGTCAAGTTCTCTGTGCCTCAATTTTCCTTTCTGTGCCTCAATGTCCTCATCTGTTAAATAGAGATCATAGTTTCTACTTTATAGTTTTACTAAAAACTAAATAAATTAGGTAAAGTGCTAGAATAAAGTCAGCCCTCGAATGTTAGTTACTATTATCCATTTGGCCATAAGATAGAGAAAAGTCATTCAGGAAGGAAAAACTAAAGTGATCCTAATTCTGATATGTCAAGAGCTAACTTTTCTATCTAAGGGAGGAGTGAAGATTTCAAATGTTTAAGAAATGTCAGTAGGGTGTGGTGGCCCAGCCTATAATCCCATCACTTCTGGAGGCCGAAGAGAGAGGACTGCCTGGGCAACTTGGTGAGACCTTGTCTCTACAATAAGTCACAAAAAACTTAGCTAGGCGTGGTGGCGTGTGTCTGTAGTTCTAGCTACTTGAAAGGCTGAGGTGGAAGGTTACCCTGAGCCCAGCAGGTTGAAGCTGTGGTGGCTGTGAGCATGCCACTGTACTCCAGCCTGAGCGAAAAAGAGTGAGATTCCAACTCAAAAAGCAAAACAAAAAGTTTTGTCCTAAAGAATGGTACTTTAATAAAGACGAGTACAGTTGTTTCTAAACAGGAGAGGACCTGTAAAAACTCAACAAATTGCATCAGCTTCGAAAACCAAAAATCTCTTGTAAACAGGTAATTTACAAGCCACCATGACTGCTACTGAGCAGAACCCTTAAAGGACTCTCACATTCCTGTTATATTACATCTTTGACCATCTCAGTAGAGTAAGATTATAAAGTTTAAAAATTTATACATGTATTCGTGATGGATGCTTTTAGGTACCTGTTGGAAGAAGTTTTTATCAAATGTGGGAAGGCTGGTCGTGTTGAGCCCTAAAGTAGAGAAGCAAGGCTAATTCTCATTGAGTGAATTATGAACAAAGTCACAGACCTGAGGATATTTTGACCTAGCAGATGTTTTGAAACTAAGGATATTGTAGTTCCTCTTTTAAAACATACATCAACTTCATTAGAATTTTACCATTTACTCTTCCTACCAATAAGAATGAGATACTACATTTCTTTAGTAATACCCCCAAAATCATGCTGATTTCTTAGACCCTATGGCAGAATCTTCTGATGGGAAATCCATGCATCTCAACTAATCTGGAGACTGATCCACTAGACTGAAATCACAATGTACATTGCCGTAAAGGTTGAGAAGAGTTTGGTTTGTTTTGTTTTGTTTTTTAGATTAAGTTTCATTCTCAGCTGGCAGAACATAATGTCCCCTGAACTCTTGGTTCAAGCCAGTATGCTTAGTTATCTAAGTAATACATTGAATTCAATTCCATCTGCAGTCAATTCTCCCAAGTATTATCTGAAGTTAGTTTGTATTTCCACCTAGAAATTATTAGTTTTTTTTTTTAAATTCCTGAGTCGTTTGACACTTTTCGTTCTTGAAATTTCAGTTTCTTTGTTTTGCTCTAAGTACAGCAATTCTATCTTCTTAAATATGTTGTTGAACTGGGCAGAGATTTTACTGGGACTGCACTTTAATTAATGAAAGTTATTTCCTAATTAACACTTAAGAAAATAAGTTATAATCCTAGTGAAAGTATTATGTTCCTTTTCTTTTTCTTTTTTGTAGAATAAAGTCTTGCTATGTTGCCCTGCTTGGTATCAAACTCCTGGCCTCAAGCAATCCTCCTGTCTCAGCCTCCAAATTGCTGGGGATTCCAGGTGTGAGCCACTCAGCCTTATTATATTCCTTTTAACCAGTGACATTTTTTTCTTATTTTGTGAATACAAAATGCATTTGTTTTCAAATAGTACCACTCCATAGAACAAGGGCTACCCTAAAATAAATTTTCAAAAAAATTTAAGGGATGCTTTAAGACAAATTTCATGGAGATGTTGTTTCTTTCTTTCTTTCTTTTTTTTTTCTTTTTGCTGTGAAGTTCGTAATTTTATCCTTCTTTATGGTTGCGGAGATGTTATGTTTCTAAGTGCTACATTTAGAAAGTACATTCTCAAAATTCTCTGGTTTGATTAAGTTAAATTAGTTCAGATATGTACAACTATAGTCTGTTAATCAATCATTTTTTTTTTTCAGTTATGGTTAGTTTTCTTATTTTCAGTTGGTAGAAATTTCAAATTTCTAAATCTGTAAATCAAAATTTTTTAATATGAAAAAAATTTTTAAAATATGGGGCAGTCCATTATGAGATAAATTGTTCACAGGATGTCAAAAGTAACTTTAGATTTAACAAACAGTTCACCTTCATAATGTTCCCAGATATTTCAAAGGAGTAGCACTAATAAAAATATCAACAGCCCTGTTCAAATATATCCATTCCGCTTAGTTAAAGTGGAAGTATGATTCAAATTTACTGTCTCTAAAGTTTCATTAGGCCATCATACACATAAAGAAACCTATAGGTTTTGTGTGTGTGTATGTGGTTTGTTTTTTTTTTCCCTTCAAAGCTCTGTATTTTAATACAAAAAACGCTTTGCTCTTTTCAGAAACTGTTTCTTAGAAATCTAAGAGCCCGGGCGTGGCGGGGGCGGGGGGTGGGGGGGGGAAGCAGAATGTGATTTATATCTACCTCTAACAACTGAAGAAGCTGTTGTAGAGTCTGAAGTTTGTTGTTTGGATAATAAAGCTAAGATTAGGAATGTCCCTTTAAGTCTCTATTTACACAAACACAAAACATTTACATTTATGGTCCAACTGAAGGTGATGAAAGTTAAACTGATTTGCATAGGTTCGGCACATCCCTCTTACTCTCTATGGGTAGTCTTTAAAATAAAGTTGGAGAATAGTCTCCTGCACCTAAGACTTAAAGGCTCCTTTCAGCCACAGTACTGGGAGGGCACCCTAAGTCCCGAACTTCTCTTCGTACCGGCAAGGAAATGGCTCGGCAGGTTAGAAGGCCAGGGCTAAAATCCAACCACCGAGCCGAAGTCACGGCGTCCACAGGTAAGTTCGCTCCGTCACCTGGTTTCAGGGACACTCCGTTCGTCTCATTTCAGGCTGTGACGCTTTCCAACGTGCTGGAACCTGACCATGAACAGTGGAATCGAAACAATTATGTGGCAGATTGGCTTCTGCGCGGATTTCGATCCGGGATCCACCAATGTACTTAATAACTGGGGAAAAGTGGGAAGGAGGAGCTTCCATTAATCACAGAACAGAGCTCGGTGGCTCCAGGAATGGAATCTCATGGCTCGTCTCCCAATCAATTCTATTCCGAATTAAGGACCAACGACAGAACCCCCCAAACCCGCCTGCCCAAGATGAGGCAAGGTCAGTTTTTTGAGCCCCGCAAACGCTTCTGAAAGGAGGCGAGAGAAGAAGTAGGAACTGAGGGAACTTCCCGACGCCTCATCACACCACAATCTCCCATCGTGGCCAGTCCGGGGCCGCCCACCGGAAGTGAAACCGGAGGAAACGCCACGTCGAAAGCGTGGGTTGACGACGTCAGCGCGTCGGCGACGTCACGCTCCGCGCTTCCGGCGATGGGTGGTCCCGGGGTCGGTACGGGAGGCGGGGCGGAGGCGGGGCTTGGGGCTGCTTGAGGCTCTGCTGGGTAGGTGGGTTCAGACCGAGGGGACTACGGGTCGGCGTTGGGCTCAGCGGGGCTCGAAACAAAGGACTCTCCGGTGGGGACTCGGCGCGGCACCTTCCGACGGGGGTTGAGCGGCGGGTCGCGGCGTCTCCGCCGACCGGTGCTCTCGCTGCGCGGTCTCGGGCGGCTCCTCCTCGGTTCCCCACGGCCGGCCCCGCGGTGGGGGGCCCGGCGCAGCGGCACCTGCTGCTGAGGGACCCCGCGGCCCGCCCGGGTGCTCATGATGGGGCTGATTTTCGCTAAACTGTGGAGCCTCTTCTGTACCCAAGGTGAGAAGGATGGAGCTGCGCAGCGGCTCGGATCCGAGGCAGCGGGTCCGGCCGCCGCAGGTGGACAGTCGGTGACCCGGCTCTCGGGGACCGGAGCGTGGCGCGACGCCGAGAGTGACTTCGGCCAGGGGGCGGGCGGAAGCAGCGTGTCGGACCCGGAGAGGGTGCGGGAGAGACCTGATGGGTGCGGGCAAGGGACAGTCCGGAGGTACGGCGGTCGGTGTCCCCGAATCCAGATGGAGAATTTGAGGGTTTTAGCGACAGCGGAATACAGCCAATGATGCCCGGAGGCGTGTTGAGGGCCTGTCTTGTTTTCTTTCTTTTTTTTTTTTTTTTTTTTTGTCCTTCCTTCTATCTGTGTTTGGCCCCAGGGTAAGTGTCCGCCCGGCAAACCAAAACTTTTTTTTTTTTAAACTCGTGTGGCTTTGTTTTCCGCCCTGTCCGTAAGCCTTCACTCTGATTTCTCCTGCTGTCTGGGACTCGGGAATGAGTTGTCCTGTTCAGATACACGGGTTTCCGAAAATCTTCACCCTAAACTTTTTTTTTTTGAGACGTTAGAAAACTGATTTGAGCTCTGTGTAAGGTGTTACGTGTCCGTCATGCGTCTAGAACAGGCTATGAGACACCTAGAAGTGGAAGTCCAAAGGGCCAAGAAGTTGTAAGACCTGTTCTGAGTCAGAGTGAAACGTGATGGCTTCTGATGAGAGAAAATACCCGGACATAAAAAAGGGCCGACAATATATGAAGTTTAGGCTGCCTCTTAACAGATTGGTTTCTTGGAAATCAAAAGCAGTTTATAGATTTCAGTTTCATTTTGTGTTTAATAGCCAGGCATAATTTGTAAACTAGTTTTGTTTCTATGATGGTACCAGCTTGTCCCTTGCTAATGTGTGTATCCTTTTTCTAAATTTAAGGATTTGGAAAAAGAATGAAATGACTTTAATTCATTTGTTCTTAGGTTGATACGAATACTAAAGTAAGCCGGGCTCGGTGGCTCAGCCAGTAATCCCAGCACTTTGGGAGGCTGAGGTGAGAAGATTGCTTGAGCTCGCGGGTTCGAGACCCGCCCGGGCAACCTGGGGAGACCTCATCTCTACAATAAATCAAAAAATTAGCCAGGCGTGGTAGCGGGCGCCTGTAGTTCCAGCTACTTGGAAGACTGAGGCGGAAGGATCGCCGGAGCCCCGCAGGTTGAGGCTGTGGTGGCCGGGAGCGGCCACTGCACTCCAGTCTGGGCGACAGAGTGAGACTCCAACTCAAAAATAAAAAACAAAACAAAACGAATACTAAAGTAGTCTTTTTAAAGGTTATAAAGATAGATACAGACACACACACACATATATATACATGTGCATCTACATGCAGTTACAGCAGATAAATATCATTTATGAAATGATTTCAGAGTGGCCAGAATTTAACTCTTTGTGGATATTATCCATAAATTTAATACATTATTTTTCCAGCAGTTTATATTTTTTAGTCCTTGTTACATAAATTCACTACGTAAAGCAGCATTTTAATACATGCTTAAAAAGTGTAAAGATTAATATAACCACCTGTTTATTTTTCCCCAGCACTTAGGAATGAAACATCACCAACCTGTTTGTTTTTCCCCAGAGCTTAAGAAATAAAACATTACCAAAGTAGTTAGTTCTGCTTGTATACCTCGCCCCATCCGCCTTTATTTTCTGCTTCATTATTGCTTTTTAATCTTTTTTTGCTTTAGGCTTCCTTAATGAGACTAGAAGAGGAGAAAAAATTCAGAAGATAATGAAAGACTGTCAATGGTTGCTTTTATAAAATGGTTACTTTTATGGTCATATAATTGTTCAAGCCTCCTAAATCTCCCATTTCTACTTAGAATTTTTCTTTAACTTTTTATGTTCAAATTTTACAACTAGTGGTTATTCTGGCATTTTATTCTCATTCATTCATGTGGCCATTAGTCGTATTAAGAATTATGCATAGGAGATATAAAGATTAAAAAAAAAACTAGGCTGGGCATAGTGGCTCAAGCCTGTGCTCCCAGCACTTTGGGAGGCTTAGGCAATAGAATCCTTTGAGGCAAGGAGTTGGACCTGTCTCCACAAAAAAAAAAAAAAAAAAAAAAAAAAAAGGAATAGTTTAGCATGGCTGTATGCTAGTTTGCTTGTTTAAGGAGTTAAGAGGAGCTGCAGTTGGAGAAGTAGCCAGAAGTGCCAGAACACAGAGGACCTCAGAGGTAGATGAAGACAGTACTTGATTAAGACATTAAAAATCTCTACAGAGCAGGGAATGAGAGCCATTGATGAGCTTGATCATACATGTTTTCTTTTCTTTTTTTTTTTTTTGAGTTGAAGTCTCACTCTGTCATCCAGACTGGAGTGCAGTGGCCTCCCGGCCACCGCAGCCTCAACCTGCTGGGCTCCGGCAATCCTTCCACCTCGGCCTTCCAAGTAACTGGAACTACAGGCGTGCACTACCACACCCGGCTAATTTTTTTATTTTTATTGTAGAGATGAGGTCTCGCTAAGTTGCCCAGGTGGGTCTCGAACCCGCGGGCTTAGGCAATCCACTCATCTCAGCCTCCGAAAGGCGCGGGATTACAGGCTGAGCCACCGAGCCCGGCCATACATGTTTTCTTAAAGCAGAGGAGTGATAGATTTACATCTTAATCTGTATTTTTAGTTTTTTATCAGAATTAATTGCCAATCTCAGTGTTTCCATTTTTGTTACTATACATGTTGAATCCAGATGTATTCACTGTATTAGAAAAATCTACCCAAGGCCCCAACTCAGACCAATTAAGTCAGAATGGGGAGGGTTGCCTTGGCATCATTGTCAAGGTGGTTCAAATGTGCAGCCTGTGTTAAGAACTACTCATCTTATAAACTCCTTTCCCTTATCTTCTGTTATTTTCTCCCATCTTTTTTTTTTCCTGTAGCATCTTCTCGTAATTAAATATCTTTCTGGGAATACGTACGTTAACACATGTATTGTCAAAGTAAAACAATTTAAAAGTACATAAGTAGTCCCTGCTACTTCGTATTGTTTTAAGGTAGAAGACTGATTACTTCAACACAGTTGTCATTGAAGAAAATAATTTCAAAACCTGACTACCTTTGCAAGTGTTTTATAGATCTTCGTGGTTGTGTGTGATTAAATATACATATGTGTGCATATGGTATCTTTAAAGCTCTAAACCTAGGCACAATGGCTCATACCTATAATCCCAGCACTTTGGGAGGCAGAGGCTAGAGGGTTACCTGAGGTCAGGAGTTCGAGACCAGCTTTAGCAATATGGTGAGACCTGGTCTCTACAATAAACCAAAAAATTATCTGGATGTGGTGGCGCATGTCTGTGGTTCCAGCTACTTGGAAGACTGAGGTGGAAGGATCACCTGAACCTGGCAGTTTGAGGCTGAGGTGGCCATGAGCAGTGTGCCACTGGACTCTAACCTGGGCAAGAGTGAAACTCTGACTCAAAAAATGAAAATGAAGCTCTAAAAGTTTTGCATGCTTTTTAAGTTTATTTTTTTAACTTTCATAGACATCTTTTTCTCCCTCTTGTTATGACTGTACAAACTTATCATTAGTTATTTGTGATTTTACCCAGAATTAAGAACAAATGAGCCGGACTTGGTGGCTCAGCCTATAATCCCATGCTTTGGGAGGCTGAGGTGAGTGGATTGCCTGAGCCCGTGGGTTCAAGACCCGCCCAGACAACTTGGCAAGACTGCATCTCTACAATAAATTAAAACATTAGCAGGACGTGGCAGCACGTGCCTGTAGTTCCAGCTACTCGGAAGGCTGAGGCGGAAGTATCACCAGAGCCCAGCAGGTCGAGGCTGCGGTGGCCTGGAGCGGCGACTGCACTCCGGTCTGGGTGACAGAGTGAGACTTCAAATTTAAAAAAAAAAAAATGGCCACTGTTGGCTCAGACTCACTAGATGTGCTCATGCCCATCTTTTATTTCCTTCACTCTGCCTGGAATACTGTGCCCTTACATATATATCCCCAGGGCTTGTTTTCTCTGCTCAAGTCTTTGCTTTATGCCACCTTGTGGTTGAGCCCTCCTGTGACCACCCTATTGAAAATGACAAAGTCCCCCTATCCTCATTGTCCTTACCTTGCTTCATGTTTTTCTGAAAATAGTATACAGGCTGGATCGGTGGCTCAGCCTGTAATCCCGGCACTTTGGGAGGCTGAAGTGAGTGGATTGTCTGAGCCTGCGGGTTTGAGACCCACCCAGGCAACTTGGTGAGACCTCATCTCTACAATAAATCAAAAATTAGCCGGGTGTGGTAGCCCGCGCCTGTAGTTTTGGCTACCTGGAAGGCTGAGGCGGAAGGATCGCCAGAGCCCAGCAGGTCGAGGCTGCAGTGGCCCTCCTGGCCACTGCACTCCAGTCTGGGCGACAAAATGAGATTCCAACTCATAAATAAATAAATAAATAAGAACAAATGAAATAAGGTTTTCATCATAATTTATTTTCAGAACCAAGTAACAAGAACATCTTAATTTTATTCTTAGTCATGTATTTCTCAGTGAATTTTATGTTATCATTTTGATCCACTGGCAGCAATTTTTTATGAGAATACAGGAGGACCCCCAAAAAACAATATTTGTTTAAAAATTGTGTATTTATTCTTACATGTTTAAACTTCAATCACCTTCAAAGTACTATCTGCTGGATGCAATACACCTATCAAAATACTTTTTCCACTGCTCAAAACAGGTTTCTTTTTGTTTTTGTTTTTGTTTTTTGAGTTGGAGTCTCACTCTGTGGCCCAGACTGGAGCACAGTGGCCACTCCCGGCCACCACAGCCTCAACCTGCTGGGCTCCGACGATCCTTCCACCTCAGCCTTCCAAGTAGCTGGAACTACAGACATGTGCTACCACGCCCGGCTGATTTTTTGATTTATTGCAGAGATGAGGTCTTACCAATTTGCCCAGGCGGGTCTTGAACCCGCAGGCTCAGGCAATCCGCTCACCTTGGCCTCCCAAAGCACGGGATTA